CACGTACCTGCCCGAATGCCAACAATCCCAATCCCAAACGTAAATGGGCTTTGGACCACGAGTTGTTTTGTAATTATGTGGACCAAGCTTGACGTATTGAATCATAATTTGGACGTTAATTAATTTTGCCTAATTTAACCTACCAATTACGACAGAAGGTTGGTCATATATATATATATATTTGCATGCAAGATCAGCAGCGTTTTATATATCTAATTGAGAATGACTTTCTTTTCGGATAGCTTGTTAGTAAATGGTATAACTAGAATTATTGGGACAAGTTGGTTCATGACACAGTTAAATTATAATATGTTACACCATAACGTAGATATTTTGATAAAGTAAATGGTGTATGTGTTTGAATCTTGGCGACCGCACGTTTGTTAAATACATAATATTTAAAAATTGTGCAAACAATTCAAACTCTTATAAATTGAATTTTTCTTTTGAGAGGGGGCGTGTTAGTAAACGGTAATGAGATTGGTTATCGAACCTCTCCTAACGACTTGAGTTACCGATACTAAACGGTTCTTGAATCAAATCACGAATAATTGTCGTCGGTTACATACAGAGCGCGCGACATACGTACTCGATAGTTTCAACTGGTACTGTATTTTATAACGTACCCCCAAGTTTTGCAAAATATGAGATTATATCATGGGTGGATGATTAAATATAAAAATAACAGAAACTATATTCTCTAAATGAACTCATATTAGACGAAATCCTCGATAATTCCCGCTGAAAATAACACACTATTTGAATCATGTGTTGGAATGATGCCGTACGTGCACAAACCATGTGCTCGGTTTAAGGAAGTGGGAGCGTTGACGCAACCATGATCAGTTGGACTTGGATCATATCATATGAAGTCCTGTTTCCGCTTCCTTCTCCGCAAAACACCATGTAAATATATTGAACTGTGCCAACGAATTGTGCTGTTGCATGTTTTCATAGCCAGTCATTGCTTCCTTCTTCGTTTGGCAGATCGAATAATAAAAAAAAGGAAAGAACCGAAGCAAAGGAATGGAAGAATAGTCGAAGTTAACAGAGCACAGCAGGCAGGCAGCTGTAAGGAACAATGACTTGCACGAAAACGAAGGAAGGAAGGTGGTGGGGTACGTGGCACCTGAATCTCAGAATCCTTCCTAATCCGCATAGCTCCAAGATTCCGTGGCGCCAATAATTAAAATACATATATATAACGGCTGAACTACCACCCACGTGTCAGTTACATTCCTTCTCCATAATGTGGATTAACGTCCATTTTCGATCTAATCTCCACATTCTATTCTATTAATTTTAATAAAACCCACCTTACGTACTGGAATTTTTTTGTTGGGAGCGTTAATTGTTATCTTTTGGCTAAAAAGACTGACGTACGGTAAGATCAGTGTACATATGCTAATGCTATGCTAGATAGGGCTGGGTATGTGGGCGGGTCACTCGCGGGTTTGAGCCGATTCACCCGTATTTGACCCAAATTTTGTTATGTGGGTGGGTTTGTGGGTAGGTGACGGGTTGGGCAGGAAGGCATCCGCCGGGTGGCGGGTGCGCGGGTGACCCGCTCAACCCAACAGTAAAAAATAACAAAGTCGTTGGCGCTAGAGAGTGGAGAGTGGAGACGATGACGGAAACTAGGGTTAGTCCTGAAGACTGAATCTCAAAGCCAATCTTCCAAATCTCGACTTCCCTCTTCTTCCCTTTACTTTTTCCTCTGATTCTTGTGCCCGAATCACCTCTCTTTCCTCCGTTAAATTATTTTTCTTAGTTTCCTGCATCCGATAATTATCTCCATCCCTATAAAACTTTTTGATAATAGAATTTCTATCCAATTTTAGAACTTATTCGACATTTTTTTTCTTCCTATTCCATCTTCTAGTTTATGCCCGATAACTCTCCACCAATTATCTCGACACTTAGAAGTGAATCTCAAATTTGGAGGGCGAATGGATGTTAAAATAGATTTTTATTTTACATATAGATATTACACAGGGTTTTTTTAAAATATAAATGGATCATGTCAAGTTGACTCATTTAGATTATTTACATTGTGGTGTGGGTGAACCCACAAACCCATCCGCATCATCCACCGTCCACCCGACCCAACCCGTGACTAAACGTGGGTGGGTGGTGGGTTAAAAATTATCAATCCGTTTAAGCACGGTTGGGTGCATTTTTATGGTCAAAATCCACCCGACCCACCCAATACCCATCCCTAATGCTAGATGTTTATGATGACTATCATGGTATGTGGTGATATGAAGGAAGTTGTCTGAGTTTTTCGTTGGATTAATGTTTCACCGCCACAAAATTGATAGCCTAGGACCAGAGATATGCGCTGCGATGTAGAGTAACGATGACCAGTTATAAGTAGTTTCGAGGGAATCATTGTAGAGGAGGCATTTTGAGGAGTTTTGTTTCGCCACTTTTGCAGGTGAAAATAGACTTCGAATTTTGTATAGACCAATCATACACTCTTGCTTTGAATCAACCCTTTATATTCAAAAAAGTCACGAGAATTCAAAAACTGGACCTCTCGATATCCGGACTATTATACCATTTTCCTTTAACAAGCAAATACTCTTAGGGGTGCCAGTTAGGTTATTTCGGTTATAACCGGTAACCGATTGGCCGGTTATCGGTTAACCGAAATAACCACTCCTCCTACCTAAAACCGCCCCAAATAGGTTTCGGTTTCTCGGTTATCGGTTAACCGAACAACTTTTAAGACCAAAAACCATTTCGTCCAACCTCCGATAACCGACCGAAGTTCGGTTACTTCGATTACTGGTTAGTGGATAACCGGCCGGTTATCGATTAAACCAAACTGCCACCCCTAAATACTCTTAAATGCATTTAAGCATATGTCAAACACCCCTCTTGAATTAACTTGAAAAGGAAACTTTACATTGTCTCGTTGCTTGTTTCCCAATCCTCCCTCTCAAGCTTCTTAATTAATTACCGTTTAGCGGCAAGGCAGGGATTTGATGATGATAATTATTGCGGAAGTTGACCTCCGCTCCCTCGCAACCGCGGCCGCAACGCCAACTCCTTACTCCACCGCTCGATCGATCTGTAACGCGGTGCGGAGGATGAGGCGACGGATGCGGCCGTCGACGCCGTTCCTTCATCCACTTGTACCTTCGCGCCCACGCTTCATCTTCTCTCTCTGCTGTCTTATTATAATAATAATAAACCCATCATTCATTCATCCCTATATCGTCCAATCAATTTCCGCCAATCGTATTCTTTCCCTTCATTAAATCTGTGGCTTCCTTCTTATTCCAACCCCAATCGAATTTAATTCTATAGTATTTAAACATTATCCCCCATTACTATAACTTTTTTTTCTTTTTCTTAGAAGTCAAACAATGTATAATACAATCACCTCATCATAACTGCCATACATTACATATGTCAACGCCACGTTCCCTATGGTGACGGATATACTCTTCTTCTTCTTCTTCTTCTTCTTCTTCTTCTTCTTCTTCTTCTTCTTCTTCTTCTCATGGATAGAGTTCAAGCTAGATAGTCATAGCAATCCGAGTAACCAGACGCGGTAGTTACAGAAGGACGTTTCGAACCAGTATTAAATGGGGCATATACAATTTTAACATCGATTGAATTGTTCATAACTCCTGATGCTACAATGTTTTCGGAATCACTTACGTACTGTTCAAGCGATATGTCAATTATTGGTAGGGGTGGCAGTTCCGTATTCGATTTTTTTGGTTTAAATCGTACCCGAACCGATTTATAGACTTGTCGGCTTTTCTTAATGGGTAGAAACTAGAAACCAAACTGATTTTTTTTGGCTTATTGGGTTTCCCTTAATGGGTAAAATCCGATAAACTCTTACTAAATTCGGTTAAAATCGAAAACCGTTAATAAAAACGATAAGCCTTAATGCAATCAAAGGTTGGTTGTCGGGTTTTCAGTGTATTCTGACCGAATTTAGCAAAGTGCTTAATGATTTTTGGTTAACGGAACCGCCAACCCTATTTACCGGCTACGTAAACTAATATGCAGCTGGAGTTAACACTTCCCCAAAAGAGAAGAGAATATCAGAGGTAAAAGCCAAATAAGCCAAGTTAAGGTGCACATGTACAAATTAGCTGTTAACGAGAAGCAACAAGCTAAGCCACCCGTGTAACTAAACAACAAGAAGCCGTGAGCCTCAAGTAATGAGGGGAGGAAAGAAGGGCAGAGAAGAGAAGAGAAGAGCTAAGCTATAGTTAGCCTCTATTTTAGGCAGCCGACTTATTGTTACTTCACACCATCACCACACCAAAACTTTCATCCAAGGGAAAACTCCCCAATCCCCATTAATCCAACCCTAGGGTTTTCCTCCCTTTCTTTCCCCTTTTGGTAACCCGGTTTCCGCTTTTATGCCATTCAATCAATCATTTGAGCTTCTTTTGCCTTATTAAACGCATCAACTCAATATCACGATTGTAAATCCCAAAAGTCATTTTTCCATCTCTGCGTGTGGAGAATTGTTAAATTAGCTAAAAAATACTGGATTAATGCGATCGAACCAGAAATCTTAATCTTCAATGTATAAGTAAAAAATATGGTATGAGTATGTTACACGTACAGAACCACAAAATAAACAGGAGAGAATTAGACGACTCTATCGTAATACGAAAAATGAAATTTTCAAAAGCATCTAAAACTTATACGAATATTATGAAGTTGAGGTACTACTATTTGTTTGGTGGCTCTTTGGTTAACTGATAATAGTAATGCTCCTTCCTTTAACGAACATTCTCTATAGCTTTCCTTATTCATATGTAAAGAAGTGTTTAGGAATTTTCGATAACTATAGTCTATCTATATAGTTAGTTAAGGTCATGAAATCTAATTTAAAAAAAAAAAATTGAAGAGAAGATTGGGAAATCTCATGTTTGAAAAAAAAAATGGTGCGGGGCCCACACTCCTCCAGAAGCGCCTTTAGTGTGACGACATCTATACAGCATACAAAAGAGTACTCCCTACGCATTTCGCTCCTTCTTCTCATCAATCCCCAAAAAATTCCCCAATCTCCTCCTTCCTCTATATATATATACCAATCCCCTTCCCTTCCTTCCATTTCAGCTGCTTCTTCTTCCTCTAATTATCTCTACCTCTTGTTCTCATTTCCATGGCGGCAGAAGAGTTCCAGGAGTCCGACGTGTTCTTCTCCGGTGACCGGGAAGTCGCAGATCTGCACCACAATCACCATCATCATCGTCATCGGCGGCAGCGGTCGAGGAACAACAAGAAGCAGAAGAAATCGGGCGGCGGCGGTGATAGTAGTGCTCGTGCTGCTGCTCCGTCGGTGCCGGTAGACATCCCGACGAACGTGTTCCGGTTCGGAGATTCCGATGAATACGAGGAGGAGGAGGAGGAGGAGGAGGAAGGATTGATTATCCCGCCACACGTTATCCTGGCTCGGAGGGTGGCCGGAAAAATGGCGTTCTCGGTGTGCACGGGGAACGGGCGGACGTTGAAGGGGAGGGATTTGAGCCAGGTCAGGAACTCCATTCTTCGGATGACTGGCTTTCTCGAAACTTAAAAACTCCTTGATTGGAAGAAGATGGGAGGATCCGAGGATCACTTCGCCGGCCCGGCCCGGCCCAGCCTAAATTCTGGGCTGATGTTTTTCTTTGTAAGGTGATTGTTGGCCCAAATTTCACTCTCGGCGTGAAATTGTGGACTGGGAAAGGGGAAATTATTATGAACAATATTCAGATTGCCAGGTTGTTGATTGGAATATATTGTTCGCGGTGTTTGTCAAAAATGACAAACCAAGAGTGATTTTTAAAAGCAGAAATAGATGATTATTGTTGTTGGTGATAATTATTTTGTTTATTTATTGTAAGTGAAGAAATGTTGTGTATAAATAATCCAGTTGTGATGTAAAGATAATTTAAAAGGTGCACAGTGCGCCACCGGCCACCGCTGCTGCCTGCTAGTTACTGGGAGCTGGAATTATTTTGTCGTCAATTTTCATGCGTTTATGTATAACTTAACTATATATACATCAAATTAATAAAATCGTAAAGAAGAAAAATAATCGTCAGGCCGACGTCATAAAAAAGGAGGAGCTACTAGCTAGTAAGCCCATTTATGCCACACGGATGGACCCAGAAAAATGAATTTGCGTTTTGGATAAGTTTTGGAGAGATCAATCTGGCGGCTGGGCCTCCATCAAGCAAGGGCCCATCTATTTAACTTGTTCAATATCAGCAACATGATAATTTATAATTTTCTTCGATTTGTATGACACAAAGTCCTTTTGTTCTTTATATCGATGATGAGAAACATGTCTATCTCAGTCTCTACTTACATATAAATTAACCATCCATCACTATGTTTGAATATGTGGAGAAGGCTAGACATAATTGGGATTGGTTGTTTATAGCCTAAACTTGTCGTTTCATATTCCATCATTATGAAAGGAGACTTGAGTTTACTATATAATTGCATCCACAAGCAAAATCGTACATGATTAATAATGTAGTTCGTTTCGATCCGCCTAGTGTTTACTATGACACGAGAGAATTAGTTAGCCTGACGACGGTTCATAACCAACCAGTACGGGGACTCTACGACATGACACAAATACAAGATATTAGCATCAAAGATTTTTCTCTGTCCAACATTTTTCTCTGCCCAAACGGATGAAAAATATAATAATATGATTGTCAATGAAGAGAATATGGGATGAGTTAGCTTGACTACCTTGTAAGAGGTCGGAAAAATGACACCCCCTATTAATTATAGTTATTTTGGGTATTAAATATGTGTTGCGTTAAATATTTTTTTAGAATTAAAAATTTATATTAATTACATTCATTTTTTCAACTATCATTACATCGATACAATTACCATTGCCCCTGTACACCAAATACCATTGCACTGATACAACTATCAATGCACTTATACAACTACCATTACACTGAAAAAGGAAAGTAATTAATATGGTTTTTTAATTACCACAGATTATTAAATGCAACACAAAATTATTATTTTAAAAACCTATAATTAATACGGGATGTCATTTTTCAAATCTTTTAGAAGTAATCATGCTATCTCATTCCAATAGAACACCCATTTGAGCCGTACCTATATATATATATAGAAAATTGATTAAGCAATTTAATTAAACTAAAGTTAGTTATATAACATGTTGAATTATGTGTTATATATAACAAATCGATATATAATTACGTGGGTGGACGTTAATAGACCTCGAGTAGGATCCAGAGAAAGCTCGTTAATGTATAGAGGTGCAATGGTGAGGGCGAAGCAAACCCTAAATCCCGTCATTGGTTGGCCTACAAGGAGGATTACGTACGTACAAGCAACTAACTACATGCAACTACGAGAAGATTAGAACGATATCCTCGCCATGCACTAAAAATCTTATAGTAGAAAACAAAATGGCTTGACTGTTGGCGGATCGCTTCGGGAGGAAATACACCCTCGCCGCAACGGGTGGCTTCTTCTTCGTGGGAAACTTGCTCAAGTCTTTCTCCATTTCTTCTTACCCTCTTCTCCTCGTCGGCCAACTCTTGACGGGCTTTGGCGTCAGCTTCGCGCTCACCATCGCCCCGCTCTACATCGCCGAGATGTCTCCCGCTCCGACTCGAGGTCTACTAACCTCCGCTCTTGAGGTATATATATGTATTCATCTTATCGTATATGTAGTTGTCTTCGGCCACCAATCCTATTCCATGTTCTCACGGTTCCTTGCCATGGTCGGACAGAGAGTGATATTCTTGATAGCCGTTTTTCCTTCTGTTTTGCTAACATCCTGCATGTGTCTGATGCCAGAGTCCTCGTATTGGCTGTTTATGAATCGTCCGACGCAGGTCAACGAAGCCATATATATTATTTTTGTCGGTCTATCTTATTATTTGTCTATATATTAACTTCTGCAACTGATCTTTTAAGACAACAAATTATTTGATTTCAATATGTCATTGTATCTGCATTCGTTTAATAATATTTTTTAATTGTTTATTTCAAATAAGAAAAATTTAGTTATTGGAGCAATTATCCTGTTTGCTTCTATATACATAACTTCTACAACATATATATATATATATTATTTTTGTTGGTCTATCTTATTATTTGTCTATATATTAACTTTTGCAACTGATCTTTTGAGACAATAAATTATTTGCTTTCAATATGTCATTGTATCTGCATCTGTTTAAAAATATTTTTAATCGTTTATATCAAATAAGAAAAATTTAGTTATTGAAGCAATTATCCTGTTTGCTTCTATATACATAACTGATTAACTATAAAATATTTACACACAGTATCCTATATCATTTGAGCATTAGATGCAGATATAATTGTGTCGAATAACTTATCTACCCAAAAAATATTGGATTTTTTTATTAAAAGGAGAGACGCTTCATAATTTAGCAACATAGATTTCTTTTGAAAAAATAATTTGGTATACTTGCATGTATGTTAAAGAAATTATTTTACAATATGTCAAATATATGCATAATTGACATTTGAGGTTTTCTCACATTTGCTATAACCAATTTGAACTAATTGAACCCACTATAAACATCAAATCACTTGTCAAACTATCAAACGGGTTGATGACATAATCTGATTTGACAATCTTGACCCTCTCTCCACAGACTTCGCCCCCAACTTGCCTTTCCCTTGCCCTGCAGATCCATCCTCCTTCGTCCGTCTCTCAATGACGACAAAAAAATAAATACGATAAATTTTGCAATTGACATGTCTTTTGTCCTCTTTGTGAATGATATTCCTTACCTCCTGTTCTTGAAGAAAGAGAGGAAAATGGAGAGGAGGGACATTTTGGAGTTAAGAAAATTGTAAGAAAATGTGTATTGGGAATTGTGATGAATATGTTATTTTATTGGGTATGTAATAGTAAAATAATTTGATAATATATAGATATTATTTTCATCGCTTATGAATTGTGAATTAAATTTGTATTTTCTTGCTAATTTTTTCACTATAAAAAATCAAAATTACATCATTTGAAAAAAGTGTCAACCTTTTTTAATTTTTTTTACTATTTTGTTGATTTATTAACATAGCAACGAAAACATAAACAAATAACACATCACACTACACATACACAAATCCTTCTAAAAATAGACCATCTACTAATAGACGATTTTAGCGATATAACGGCTGAATCACGATTAATCTCGATTTAAGTATAAAATTTCTTATTACTCACATTTCTCATCTGATATTGTTTTATCATTTTTAATAATTAACAAATAACACATCACACTACACATACACAAATTCTTCTAAAAATAGGTCATCGACTAATAGACGATTTTAGAGATAAGAAATGATTGAATCACGATTAATCTCGAGTTAAGTACAAAATATAATATCACTAGTATTTCTCATATGATATTGTTTTATCATTTTTAATAATTATTCCAATAATTCATTCTCACAAGTAACAAATGTCACAAGCACAGAAGAAAAGGTAAGTAACAGAAAACAAAACAAAAACAAAAACAAAAACAAAAAAAAAAGAAGGAAGGAAGAAAAAGTAATGGGAATAAAGAAAGTAACGGGAAAATATAAAAACAAAATACTAATTGGTTGGGTGATCATTTTCTTTTGTTGCCACGACTCACGAGGTAATCATCAAGTCAATCAAGAGAACTAATAATACGTTTTAAAGCTTTTGCATTCCTCCATTTGAAAATCCAAGCCCTGGGAGCGTTTCTCGGAAGGGCATTAAAGGAAGTTCACACATCCCCTCCCCCAATCGTAATTGAAGGCTTCCCCACTAATTCAATTTCTTCGAAGCCTGCGCCAGTACTACGAACCCTGCCCTGCATCCGCTACGTCACCCGCACTTTGTCGACTCTTGAATATCAGTCGTTCGTCCGCGAAACTGCGCCCACAGCCGTTGGTCAGTGTAGCCATCACGGCTTTCGGTTCATTGTCCTATCTCACCCTCACTCCCGCTGTGGTCTCGCCACCGTAATTGAGGACTAATGTCTTGCTACTGTAATACTTCACTTCTCTGCATTCATTTCAATTCCACCGTTCAACTCCGGCCAGCCTTGCCAAAACAGGTTCCCCAATTGCCCACACTGTTATGTTATAACCTTTTTGCTCCAATTCCCTAATCCTTCTCATTTCCTTTCGCATTGTCGACCAGCTCAGTTCCAGTGCTCCAATTGGTCTTCCACCATCAGCTATTGCCTCTTTACTGTTCAGCCCCTTTCGCATTGTCGACCAGCCCCTCCCACATCTAATCCACCGGTTGTTTGTTCTAAACAGCTTTCTATTAATTGGTGAAGCGCGTGTTTTCCCAGCATTGGTGAAATATCGGTGGTTTTCTAGAACTTTGTTCTGTCATATAATTCTGATGGTTCGTCGGTGTGACACTCCTGGGGCTTCCTCCTCACAAGCTGCTACAACTCACAATTGGTGTTACGTTCTTCAGGTCAATGTAACTGCAATTGGTGGAACTCTATAGTGATTGCTGTAACACCCCACCCTAAAACTCAGGGGTCGAACCACTGGTTCACCCGCACAGCAAAAAATACTAATGGGGTTTACGTATTAACTCATCATTCAATACATATACATCTTTCTTTTACTAAACATAACTCGAGGTGAACATATATATATATCAAATCTAACCCATTTATTAGTATCCAATCTCGTTTATTAAACATACAACATCCAATTCATGACATCAAATCCAAACACTAGTTCGTTGAAACTCAAATATCCATCTTACATACTTTGGTACAATCCATAAATCATAATAACTCAATCGATCAAATTCAATGCAATCAAACTCAACATAATACATGTTTATGATACTTGTTTTAAAACACAAAACATAGGTAAAAACTCTCCTCCGACCAATCATCTGCTACCTCATGATGGAGTAGAAGTTGCACAGCTCCGACGTCCAAGCTCAGTTCCTCTGCTGCGGATCTGAACACAAAAGGGGAGGGGGTCAGCTAACTAATTTAGCTGAGGTGTGGCGATGTTCCCTCCTACACGGCGAAGTCTATGGATACGTTTTCCACATCAATTGATTAACCACCTAATCATGGCATCTAGGTTGAAGTCTCAACCTAATATAATTCTCAACCTAGAATCCAATATCCAGACAATATGC